CCCCCCGTGGGCCCTTGCCCCCGGCGGCTGCGAGCCGGGGGGGATGCAGCGAAGGCAACAGGCTGGGTCACCAAGCAAGAGGAGGAGGGCAGGGCAGCAAATGCCAAGCTGCATCAGGTTTTGGTGGCGATGGCCCTGTGTACGAGACAGTCAGGGTGAAGGTGGGAGCTAGAGATGAAGGAAAGACAAGAGGGGCAGAAGAAGGGCTGCAGAGCCAGGATGGTTACATAGATCCAGGTGGAGGGTGAGGTCTGGCTGTTAACGCTGGGTAAGAGAAGCAGCCATGGGGATGTCAAGGTTTCAGGAGGTTTTGGAATCTGGGAGCAAGCCAAATTGTCACAGAAACACATCCAGTGTAGTCCCCAAAGGAAGAAAGTTGGGGTTTAAAGGACCTCAGTAATGGTCTTAAGGTAGCTCAGCAGACACGCTCCTGCCTGCTCTGTCACACAGGCCAACAGGCTTCTACCTTGGCTCTTCCACATGGGACATGGCTCCACAGCTCAGAAAATTTCTGATTTTCCACCTAAACGCTATCACCAGCTACTCTGTACCATCTGCTCTTGGCCTTCTGCATTAATAGCTCTCTTTCTAGTGCCCCTCCAGCCCAGCACGTCGTTACAGGCAGCAAATAAACCCCTTTCACCAAGTCTGAACACATGGTGCCTTTTTGGTCTCCTCTCTGTACCACAGACTCTCCTCTGCCCTTTTCACCTTATCAGCTTTACTCTTTACCTGCTACAACCAACCTTAGATCTTCACCTCATCTACTACCCTGGCTCCTCTCTCTCTCCTCACCCCTTCATGCTCCCTGTTGCATTTGGCAGTAAAGCTCATGAACCACGGCTGAAAAAGGGTTTGTTTTTTTTGGTTGAAGGTGAGGGAAAAAATCCTCCCTTACGGTGCTTTATATTTCTCCAGATCCATCTTTCCTGTGCTCCATCACTCACGGCTGAACTCTGTCCAGTCACAGGACACTGACAGCAGAGCCCACGTGCTTGCTTTGGACCGCTGAAACGTTCAGCTGTCCTTGAGCTCACAGGCACCTCCAAGGTTTGTCAGGACAGCTCTGTCCAAAAGAGACCGTCTGGCTGGGATGCAAGCGGTTGGGCTGTGACAGCCACCACAAAGCAGAAACTCACACCCTAATGACGTCTGGCATGAACCCGGCACACAGGCTGCACATCTCCCCAGCCAAGGGACCCACATCGCGACCGGAAAGTGCCACCCAGAATAACAATGCAAACGACCAAAACCAGTTATCTGGATCCAAAGACAGGGAGAAACTGTGCCAGGGAACTCTGATGCTGCAATGCTGCTCCTGATGGCTTTATCAGGAAAGTCTCCTCTGCCACACATGAGCTGGTATTCACACTGTACTGGCTGTTCATGGCTTTTTTGGGCTCTGTTTGCAGCCAAGAGCCTCTGACATCAGAGTTAATCCTCCCTACGTGACACAAGAGTCACTCACAAAAGAATACAGTCCCCAAAATCTTGATGTTCTCTTTCCATCACTGTGAGGTCTTGAATTTGTCTCTGGACACCTTGGAGCCCAGGGCTGCTTCTTCCTTTCTCAGATCACAGAAGCCACAGTCTGTTACCATGAGTCGCCCTCCCCACGTGCTGTTTAAGTCATCCCTGCCCGAGGAAACCTCTCCTTCAGTGACTTTCCCTGGGCACTCAGCCTCTCTGTGATGCAGCATCTCTCCTCACTCCTGAAAGCACCAAACACAGGTGGTTCCCCAACAGTGCTCCACTTATCCCTGGTAAAGTGGGGTGATCGTGCCTTGATTTCTTTGGGGCTGGGAGGTCCCCAAAGGCCAGAATAGTGGGTGCTTTGCAGGGACTCCATCACCCACCCACGGCAGGAGCACAATCCCATCACACACTGGGTCCTGAGCTGGAGTCCCAGCTGGCTGCTCAAGCCAAAGGCAGAGGGAGGCTGTAATTGCTTAGCCAGGCTCGTCCCTCCCTCTGCACGCTCCCCTCTCCCCACAACACCCTCCATTCTCCTGTCCCAGCTCTGCCTTTGTGTCTGCAGCTTCTGTTACCAACTGCTAATGATCTACATCAAGGCTGCCAGGCGGTGCTGAGCGTAAGCAGAAGAATTCAGAGCCTCTAATTACAGAGGAATTAGCAAGCAGACAGTTACTGTTTAGTGCTAATGAACAGATACATTAAGAGAGACATCACACAGGCTGAGAAGTGTGAGTCTTGATAATAAAGGAGTGTCAAACAAGGAAAGCACAAGGAAGAGGATCCCGAGGACTGAAACGGATTCACCTGCAATTCAGCCCTCTGGTTTTGCTAAAGTGAAAGTAGCTACAGGCAGTAACAAGCACACTATATAACTGCAAACTGCAAAATTCAAGCATTAAATAACTTGCCTATAGCTCAGGATCATGCCAGGGATGTGCAAAACCCCTTCCCAGCACCAGTTAGCATTGCACCCACGCTGTCTCCATCAGCTGTCTCTGCAAAGGAACCATCTCTGCAACAGGTCACCATATTCCAGACCAGTTCCTATCTCCTCATCGTTTGCAGACAGGTTGCCTCTCGCCACCAAACCACGGTTCAACGCCATGCTAAATCTGCCTTCGGGGCTGGTGATGCTGTACTGAAAACCCTGCGAGTCCACGGCTCCTGAGCTAACTTAAGATCAAAGGTCACTTTGCTGGTTCATGTGTGACCAAGACCTTTTGGCAGATTACCTCTGTCTTGGCGCTCTCCATGCCCAACAGCGTGACGCCCACTTGCACCACACCAGCCCAAACACCTCGTGGCCCCTGCAGTCAGCACACACTACAGTCTCCACGCAATTCTGTGGAAACGCAATCATCCACAACTGCCAAATTCAGTCTTGAAGGTCACACAGCGTCCAGGGCAGCCTGGGGCATGTTCACACTCCCCACACACTTGCCGCAGCGCACCGAGGGACGACAGAACACCGCTTGCTCCCTCGCATGCTTGTACCTTATTGGCGTGCTTCCACCATCGGATTAAGCGAAGACCCAGCTCCGGTCTGTGCTCCAGCTCCAGATGGCTTCCAGGTGGGCTGTGGAGAGCTGCCCCTGACCAGCAGCTCTGCAGGGCATCCTGCCACCAGCACAGCTGCTGCCGTGGGCTGCTGGTGAACGACCAGCACCACCAGCCTCCCTGATACACCCCTTCCCCCAGCAAAAACACCCGGCACGGGGGTAGTGGGACAAAGCCCCAGGTCAGCACAGAGACCCTGAATGAAACCCTTCCAGCTCTGCTGCTCCGTCTTCTTCACCAAGGCGACTCTGCAGCAGCACAGGACCTGGATCAGCTTTACAGACGGTCATCCCACATACGTATCTCCCAGTCCCCCTTCTGTGCAGCTTTACTTCGCTTTCATGGCCTGTCCTGGCTTCCTCTGCACTTGGAGCAGAGATTGCAGCTTGTGTTGAAACGCTGGAGCTAATCTGACCCTCCCTCCTCAGGACCCAGGAGCAGTGCAGGGGACACAGCAAGGCTGCTGCCACATCTGCAACGTCCTGACGGCGTGGGCAGCTCATGCTCCGAGGTGACAACCCCAGGAACAGTCACGCACCCAGAGCCAGAGAGGGATGCTGAGACACCCCCCAGTGACATGAGCTGTTCTGCTGCGGTGACGAGGAGGGCAGCTCAGCCCTGGGGCACGCTCCAGCTTTTCACTAAAATAAGGCGTATTACGGAGCAAGCGACACCATGTCACATCTCATGCTGCCTCTTCTCCCCTTCGAGCCTCACAGGGTTTCACCCAGCACCTCCTAACTAGGAGATCTCCGCCCATCACCTCCCCTTCCTGGAGAAGTCTCCTGAGAGACACGGGTCTGTGTCTTACCAGCCTGGTTGGTGGTGATGTTCACCGACGCAAACTGCGGGGAGAAGGGGCTCTGGTCGGTGACGCCGTTCACCGCCTGGATCTCGAAGGTGTACTGGGTGTGGGCTAGCAGATCGCTGATGTAGATGCGGGGCTCCGTCAGCCCCAGCTGCCGGGGGGTGAACTGCACATTGTCCCCGCAGCGCGTGCACGCCCCACGGCCGGAGCCGCAGCTCTTGCAGATGATGTTGTACACCAGGTCCTCCCGGCCCCCCGAGTCCCGCGGCGGGGTCCACTCCAGCATCAGAGAGGTCTCGTTCACGCTGGAGATGACAGCCTGGGGGGCAGACGGGATGGCTGTAAAGAGAATAGAAAGGTGGAAGAGTCAGAGCGCCGCTCATCCCTGCAGAACCAGCTGTCTGTCCTGCACCCCATCCCCACACAGCAGACACACGCTGAGCCAGGTGGCAGGGATGTGGGGAGCAAGCTGGAGAGCCAAAGGCAGAAGTGGGAACAAACCCCGTCCTTTTAACCCAGGCTAATTTGTTCTTGTTGGCATCCCTGGCAAAATTCACCAGTTATTTTTTGCAGCATTTCTCATGCCTGGCCTTTGCATTAATCTCCTGCGTGCCAATACGCATGTCTTCTCATCCGGGTACAGCCCCAGAGCGAAGTCATCCCACTGCCAAAAACAGCACAGAACAACCCAAATTTCTGCTCTCTTTGCACACACAATGTTTGCAAATGTAGATTGGCCCAGGGTAAGGAAGACCCACGCCTACAAGGCTCCTCTGGATGGGCTCTGAGCCCCCTGGTCTCCTCCAAAACCGCACTGAGACAGTGGGATGCTTTGTTAAGCATCTCTTGGTGCTTTGGCTGATGTGTGTCTCCTTTCCCAGCCACGTGCTGCCCCTTCCCAGTTGCCCAGAGCCCACATACTGGTGCACGGCATGTCGACAGGATCCGCGTCTGCCCGGTAATATCCATTTCGGCACACGCAGTTCGTGGCCCCTTCTGAAGTTGTCCGGCTGTTAATCGGGCAGTGGACGCATCCTTCATCCCCTTGGCTCGCCTTGAATGTCCCTGACGGGCAGCCTGGAAGGGAACCGAAAGCAGTGGTGAGCAGAGAGGACAGGAGCTGGCAGGGATGCCCAGAGCTTGGCAGCGCTGCCAGAAAACACCCTTCAGGGCTTTGCAGCATCCAAAGCCAAAATCCGACAATTTGAAGTAAACAATATGGAGAAGAACAGCTGGTTTGAAGGCTCGCGCTGCCTGGGGAGATGTCTCTCCCTCCTTGTGCCCGACCGTGAGCACAGAACGGGGCCGCTCAGGGAATCCAACAAAGGCAAAGAGGATTTTTAGCCACCGTCACGTAAGAAGATGCGAGCGGCTGTACCAAGTCAGACCAAAGGTCCACGGTCACCAGAATCCTGCCCCCAGCAGAGGCCACCCAAGGAGCAGGGCACGAGCTGTGCCCACAACACCTTCCCACCCCCCAACCAGTCATGGCTCAGGGACTTGCCAAGAGGCAAGCACTTTGCATTTAACATCCTCTGTGGGATGTGTCTTCCAAGCAGTTCCCCAGTCATTTTGCCATTGCCTGCAAGCGTTTTGAACCCGTTTTATCCTGCAGCACAGAGCCCCACGGTGTGATCACATGAAACTGCTGCCCTCTGCCTTGCAGCTGCCAGCTGCCATCTCTTTTGATGCAATCTTGCACTTGAACTAGCAATTGCCATCTACCTTCTCCACGACCCCTACGGGTGCACAAAGTTGCATAACAACACTCGCTAGTTTATTCTCCACTCTTTTCCCACGACTCGCAATGTCCGGATTATTTTTTAACTACCAGTGTACCAACCAGACCACCTATTACAGCCTCAAGGTCTCATTCCCAAGAGCCATCGGGCCAACTCCCAGCCTCTCTCTGTGCATGCATGCGTGAAGTTGGGGTTGTTTTCTCTTATTTGCATCACCCTATGTTTATTGAATTCCAGTTGCCTTCTCAGTCCCCTGCCACACCATCTCCTAAGGTCCTTTTGTCTTCACTACTCAGCATCATAAGCAAATTGTCACCGCTGCTGTGATGGGCAGCACCGAGCTGGGGTCTACCTCTAGCTCAGACCTCTGAGCCACTCAGAGATAAAGAAGATGCTCCATTAGCAACAAATGCTCAAAAAAAAATAAATAAATGGCCTAGGGTGGCACAGGGGGGTACGCAGTGTCTGCAGCAGATGGGCGGCGACGGTTGAACCACGGTGTGAACTACAGTATTAACAGATATGGCACAGGTGGCTAAAAATATTGCCGCGAAGCTTTAAACACCAGAAAGTCCTTTCCAAGCCAGGGGGATCACCAGTGCCAAAGCAAAAGCTCGGCCACAGGCGTTTACGGGCACGGTGCTCGGTTGCGACTTTCCGCCGCTGTTAATTTCTCGTGCTGCACGGAGAGCCCGGGGGGTGGCAGGTGGTTTCTGCACTGAAACAAGTTAAACAAACTTCTGCTTCAGTTCGCTGCCAAGGCTTTCAGGAACGAGGCAGATCAGAAGGAAAAAAAAAAAAAAAAAGAAGGGAAAAAAAAAAGCAGCCTGGGAAAAACATACACTCTTGCTCACAGCAAGATTTTACTGAGAAGTCTCTACTTTTTGATTTGGAAAAAAAAGAAAGTGTTGTGGGGTTTTCTGGTTGTTTTATTTTTTACAGTTTTCATCCCTATTTTTTTCAACATTATCTTGACTTTTCAGCTAGAAAAGGTCTACAGAAAAACCACTATAAACTTCCCTACTCGCAAAGTCCCTCCTGCCTCCCACAGCCAAAGGATCTGTCGAAAAGCCGCCTTCGTCTCCTCACGTTCCTGGATCTTTCTACCTTCCCTGTCCCCTATCCCCCACACGTTTGACTCCATTTCTGACCCTATTTCCTGGCTGTCCCTCGGTACAAACCCATCGCAGAGGGTGTTAGGCTGTTGGGAGAGGTGATGGCTGCAGAGGTCTCTGTTACAGAGAGGTGATGGTGGCTCTGCGGCTGAAACGATAACAGGGTCCCCATACTAACACCAATTTTTTGAAACACGATAAGACCAACACACAAAATTGCTCTAGTCTGACACCCAGGGTGAAATATGGGGTCATTGGATCAAAGACTTTTTAAGGCATGGGCCTCTTTCACCTTCCCGAGGCTTATTTTAAAAATAACTTTCCTATAAGGCTCCTTCTGCATCAAGATAGAGATACATCAAAAAAACACCGATGCTGCTGAGGTTTAGTGACTGGCCCCAAGAGACCATAAAAACATTCCCCACACTTAGCCTGGCATAGACTGAGAGCTGCAATTAATATTTCTGCACGCACTGTTCACCAAAACCACCGAGACCCTAGAACTCTTTGCACAGGGCATCAAAACACGGCCAGAAGTTTTGGCAACTTCTTTCCTCCCCAGGAGGTGTGGGATAAAACAATCCTAGAAAATCAGAACTTCTCCAAAGATAAATGTTCTGAAGTCATGCTGAAAGACAGGAAAAAAAAATCACTGAAATTTGATGCAAATATTTTTTTTTTCTTTCCTTCTTTCCTCTAAGTAAGTAATGACAACCTCCAGAAGTGAAATAAATGAACACTGTGTTCAAAACTGTTTTGTTTCCTCCAGGTCTTCCTCTGAGTGAGAAAACAGCTTTTAATTTGGAATCCGCCCAATTTCTCGTTTCCAGAGTAAACAGCAAATCAAAACTGAAATCTTCACCCTCCTGTTGGAACAGCGTGGATGTTCTCCTCACTTGCTGGAAGACACGAGGAAACCCCAGTGTCCTGTCCCGGGTGGTGACAGCAGCTTTAGGCCACGCTGCTCCCCCTCAGGCTCGTCATAAGGGCAGGGGCAGAGCATCCCTAGAAACTCCTGCTCGTAAAGAGGGAATTGAAACAGTGAAAGCACAGGAACTGCTATTTCATTGAAGCATTCTTCATCCCACGAGGGCAATTACTGTGACATCGGCTCTGGCCCCGTCGCTGAAGCAGGGGTGGGTTTGCAGCTTCCTACGTGCTGGGTTCTTGCGTCTCCGGCACCAATTGGAGGATGCTAATAGGGGTTCAGGGGAAACATATGGACCTTTAATTGCCTCACGGCTGCACATAGGCATGGCTGGCTGGAGCCATGGAGGCAGCAGCAGGTTTGCTAAGAGCGCTGGCTGTAGCTCTCTCAAACACGATTGGGAACGACTGAGCAGTGCCGGGCGTCCTCCTTTCCCACCCACTCCTTCCCAGGTGGCCGTGGCTGGGAAGGCATGCTGTTTTGGGAGGAAACACCATGGAGACGGACACACGATGCGCTCCGCCCTTCTTTGCAGGAGGACCACACCAGGGCTCTGGGAGGGAAAGCCACTTGGGCAGCATCTGCCGCTGGATGTAGTGCTGGGACCAGGCTCCCAGCCCTCCTTCCCCACGGCTCTGCCTGCCCCAGGTAAGCTTGGCAGGGAAAGGCATCCTGTGGCTCAGCCTGACAGAAAAATCTTTGGCCAAAAGTGCAGGATGGGCCACCGAGGGCTTTCCTGTTTGCTGGCCCCGTGTCCCACCACCTCTCCCTAACCAACTTCTTCATCTGCAGGCTCCAAACAGGTTTTTCTGCATCAAGAACTGCCCTGACCTTCAGAGCCCACACCAGATCACTTCTGCAAACAGTGCAGAGCACGTGGCTCTCTCTTGCCATGAAAGTTACCAAAACGGTACCTTCGGTGTGTGCTAAGAGCCCTGAGGAAGGCTCCTCCTCATCTCCCTCTGCCTGGCTTTGTTTCTCCTGGCAGCACAGCTCCTTCCACTCAAGCAAGGCATTTTCAAACGGCTGATGGAAAACAGGCAGCCTCAGCTCTGTCAGTTTGGATCTGCTGAGAGTCTTAAATCCCCATTCTTATCTCCCAGCTGCCTTACTTCTCCCTCTGGGGCCGGAGGCAGGGGCAGGCAGGCTGGCTCTGCAGCCCCTCACCATCGGCATCCCCAGCACTGCGGGGCCCTGGAGCTGGTTGCCTCGGTCGCATCCTTCCTCTTGTGCTTTTGGGAGCCCTCTCCCAAAGCCCTCCCCAGCATCCTAATCATCCTGCAAGCCCTAAGTCCCTTGCACTCGGCATTGGAGTTGGCTGCTAGCTCCGAGAGCACCTTGGACCTCTAGGTGCCAGCTCCCTGCACTCATCCTTCCTGAGGCCGCACAAGTCCTCCAGTTTCTTTCCTGATAAATTTAATTAGCAGCCTATACTGTTACCTCATACTTGAGATAGGCAATTAATTGCACTGCCAGGTGCTGTCACTGCCAACAACTCTGACAGCATTTGGAGAGCAGAGGATAGAAATACAGAAGGGAAAACAGGGTTAAACGAGATTAACTGAAGGGGAATGCGGTGCTCAGCTGACTTCTGCGATGTGGATTTAAGAGTTGTCAAATAAGGGAAGAAGTCACAACGCAAACGCTCGTCTTTAACCCCGTTATTCTCCACAGGACAGAAACAGAAGCAGACGGCACAGATCTGCAAAAGCATCCTCCCATTAGAGGGGCAGCTTTTCGATAGGTCCCCATGCCGTGACTGGACCAGCATCCCGCACCTCACCATCAACTCAAGGAGATCACCCGGGAGGTGCCAAGACTCCAAACCCCAAATTTCCTACAACAGTGCTCCCCAGAGGTGTCCCCCAAGACACCTCATCTTCCTCCCAGCTTCAGCCCAGGGCTCCTTCAGACACGACCCTTGGAAGTGCCCCAGGCAAGGGCTTCCATGCCGCACCTTGCCACCAGCTGCGTAGTTCAAGAGGTTACATCTTACTCTTGCCATCACCCATCCCTTCACTTGGTCCACGGGGCCGCACTGGGTCAGCATGGGGCTGTCACAAGACCTCACTATCAGGGCGTCACAGAGGTCTGGAGAGTGCCGAGCAGGGCAGAGTGATGCCCTGTTTTGGGAGCTCCCTGGAAAAGCACACTAGAAAGTCCTGCAAGGGACAAGTAGTCCCCAACCTTCCATCTGGGCTGTCCTCAGCCCAGCCCAAACAAGCTCCAAAGACCAGGAAAACCGCATGGGACAGGGATTCAGCTTTTAGGACACCATAAGACAAACCCATA